TGTCGCTGTGCAGATTACAACAATCGAATAAATAAAACGACGGCAGCTTGTTCTCCCATACTTTATTTTGTTATTATTTATTTGCTATTTTTTTTTTTATGCTGGGCAAATCTTTAATGAATCTCTGCACAGGTCTTGCGCGCACCGTTTGCTGTTTTTTCGGTTGCGTGTGGGCCTCAAATCGTTTTTATTATTATTGTGCTTGTCGTGTAATTTAATTTATGAATTTGAGCCTGTATATTTCGGTGTGTGTACTTCGGCTGGCTGCATAATTTTCTAATGCTGACAAATGGGATTTGGATTTATGGCTTTTTGTCGCCAGTTGCACGTAGGTGTTGTGTGCTGTTTGTTGTTTTGTTGTGTGTTTGTTGCTTGTTTGATTGAAGATGTCGCAAGCGGCGACCTCGAAATGAACATGGACAATTGCAGTTGCAATTGGAGTTGAAGTTGGAGTTGAAGTTGGAGTCGGGGTTGCACAATTATTGTTTGGGCTTAGGCGAAAAGTAGAGCATTTTATGGGTGAATGTAACCAGAGACTTTGATGTTGTTCGATATTTGGTCTGTTGGAGAATAGAGTAGGTACAGGGGGAGAAAATATATAGCAGAAGTCACTTAAGCTATAGAAATTGAATTATTTAATATAATATTTATAGTAATAGGAATATATCTAAAAGTGGACTTAAAAATACTCAAGGTTTGCATTTTTTAATTATATTTTTAGTAAAAGGAATATACCTAAAAAAGTGGCCTTATGATACTCAAGGATATTGAGGAACAGGCTTACTTATAAACCTCTTTATAAGATTGCCAGTATCATCAGTAACTCATCCCATAAATAACCTAAATTTTCTGCAAAAATTCAAAAAAATTTCGACTATAAGCTGCAGAAGGTTCTACGGACCCTGTTACACTTTGAATTTCGTATTCAAACTTTCCATAAATAAACTTTGAAAATACCTACGATCGAACCTTAAATTTGTAAGATTTTACCTATAAATATGTAAATATAAATAATATTTCCCAAATTATTAAAAAATAAGCATTTCTAAGATCTAACTTATTAAATACTTACCTTATTTTACATATAAATTCTGCTAAATTATTTAAAACACAGGCATTTCTTAGACCTTATTTATAAAAGTAATACCCATAAATTCCCTCAAATTCCCCTCCAAATTTTCTCTCTCTGCATCTACGACTTTTAACCGAAATTTCAAACAAATTACCATATTGTCGATGGCTATCATAACGAGTCACAGTACAATGTATGCAGCCATATAACCCCTCCACAAAAAAATAAAAAGAATAAAAGGAAAATAATAAAAATAATCCCCCCTGTACCCCAGCAACAACGGCGATTTACTTTGTGCCATTTGTGCCGACTCCCGTTCTAATCTAAACTCATTATAATTAAATAAGTCACGAGTTTTGAATTTTAATTTGGCTTTCTTGGCATTGCCCTGACAGACAAAATCAGCTACCAGTCAATGGCATGTTTCGGCTCTGCTTTGTTTTGGTTTTTGGTTTTGGTTTTCCTTTTTGTTGTCTTTTTTGGCCAATTTTATCAGAATCGCACACAAGCCAAGGTCTAAGCCAGCAGAAACTTAATTATATTGCACGGCCAGCCACTCGGCAGAATCTTAAAATTTGCACTTTAGGCCAGGCGCGCACAAATTGTCTTAAAAACGAAAATAAGCCAAATTAGCAGCAGACTAGAGGCTGCTTTTCACTGCATTTGCTACTGATTTGGATTTGGGGGACTGCGGATTTCGATTTCTTTGAAAGAAAAAATAAACCCAGCAGAAGAAGTCAAGGTCCCAAGAGCGAAGGTGTTGAAATGTTGCTGCTGCCGCCTGATCTTGGTGTTGGTAGTTGCTGGTTTGCTGGTTGTGTGGCGTGTTTGATTTACGACTGATGCCTCGCTGGAAGCTGGGCTTGGAAATTGCTTTGAAATTGGCCAGAAAGGAATGAGGCAAGCTCGAGAATTGGGCCCAGGTTAAGACGGCTTTTTTTTGCAGCTATAGCTGCTGCCAGAGGTTGCAAGTTGCTAGTTGCTGCTGCTGCTGCATTGTTGTGTCGATTTTGTGCGGCATTATGCAACTCACGACAATGACAATTCACGGCAGGACCTTTGACGACCTACAAGCGTGTTCCAACTGCTCCTCACACTTATTTTCATTTTCATTTGAGTTTCGTTTTTATTTAAATACCTGAAAAAGAGAAGAGAGTACATGGGTTTAATATAATTTGGGGAAATTATAATACATATTATATAAACATAGACATTATATATAATTTTCTAGATTTTAATGGGTTGCAAGTAATTTTAAAAAAACATTTAAAACCACTGAGTATCCAATTAGTCGCAACTTTAACTTCTTTCTTGCTTTGGCAGAAGCCAGTCATTGGATTTCTGGGCTCTGCTCGTATGACAAATCGATTTACATAGCTCAGTGTGGGCTTTTCATTAGGTTTGGCTTCGGATTGCGGCCAATTAGGTTCGCGTCTCGTAGCCCCTCCGAAAATGTCAGGCCTTGTAGTAGGCCGTGGCCCAGACTTCTCAGCAGCAGCAGCTGTCATCGTTTTGTCTGGTTACCAGCTCATTTGATTTGTGCTGTTTCTTGAATTGGTTTAGACGAAGCTCCATACAAAATAAAGCCCTAAAAGCTCAATTTAATCCTTAGACAAATCCTCTGTACGCCATGGCCCGCAGCGGCTTCTGTAGCAACGAGCAGATAATCAAATCCATCAAGAACAGATTTAAGAAAGCGGCTTTTTTCCTAGTCACCGCCGAGCTGTTGTTCCTGGAGGAGTTCATCATGTTCCTCGAAGAGTCTTCCGCCATGGATGGTTTATCCACGGCTTTCATTATGCAAACTGGCAAAAAAAAGTACTATGAGCTCACCATGTCCGAAAGGATGCGATACATAAAATTGGCCAAGGAAATGAATAGTTGGGCTTTCGTCGATCAAACGACTTTGAACTGATCGATAAGATGTAATAGAATAGTTTTGAAATATCAAGGATTATCATAACATTGCATAACGTATTTTAAATATAATAAAAATTGACAATAACTTGTCTAACTCTTATTAAATAAATTTATATTCGAGTGAAAGCGAATGCAGAATGTTTCACCGAAAATATTAGAGCTTGTAGTAGGCCTTGGCTTAGATATCCCAGCAGTTTCCAACTCAGTTGTGTTTGTCGAATCTCTTAGAAGAAAAATCCATCAAAATAAAACCCAAAAAATTATATTTTATTTCAATTTAAACCCCCTCTAAGCCATGGCCCACAGCGGTTTCTGTAGCAACGAACAGATCATTAAAGCCATCAAAAAGAAATTTAAGCTTGTGGATTTTTTCCTAGTCTCACCCGAGATGCTGTTCTTGGAGGAGTTTTATATATTCCTCGAGGAGTCGGGTGCTATGGATGTGATTAGCGATCCCTTGGAGACAGGCAAACAGAAATACAAGGAGCTCTCGATATCCGAGAAGATGCGATATGTGAAGTTGGCTGAGCAAATTAATAATTTTGATTTCGATGAATAACAAAGTTGAACTGAAAGCATCCAAATATCAAGAAATACCATTAACCATTGTGTTTTAATTATAAAGATTGACAATAACTTGTAGTTCTTTAATTAAATTAATTTATTTTCTTGTGAAAGTGATTTGCAGAATGTTCTCGAAACATTTCCAATCTCGTGATCAAACGATTTGCTATGATTGACACTCTACCGATAAGTACCGGATCAGCTGTATATATGCTTCAGTTGAGGCTGAGAGGGAGCGTAAGCCGGCAGCTGGGACCTGGCTTAAACCAGCGACGTGTTGGCCATGTCCAAAGTGTCGAGGTGTCCGGCGGCCCTATTAAAAACTGGCATTCGGAATGATTTATATAAATGGTGATGCCAGACACCAGATAGACCCCCTATGCCAGAACATATAGCCTTATGTTACCAATACAATAAATGAAGAGAATTGAGGGGTGGAGTGGTGGTAACCATTGTCCAGAGTGGGCCTGTCAGCAGCAATTTGACATTTTCGTTGTCACTTTTTTTGTTTTGTTTTTTGTTGGTGTGCCCGACATTTAACACACAACATAAATTAGAAATTTGCCTGGTAGAATGACGCGCGACATGATTGCAAATAAAATAAATAAATATATAAATAAATACTAACATTAATGCAGAGTCCAACTGCAATTAGCTGCCGAACAAATTGAGTTAAATTAAGTGCATTCCCAGCATTTAGAGTGAGACCGCAAGAGTGCAACAATGTCGCCGCAATCATTTCAACAATTTCAATATGACTTTTTCCCCCCCAACACCAGAGCTACGCCGCAATTAAAAATCGGTTTTGGCCGCTGTGCTCCACAGCCGTCGGCTCTCTGAAATGCCTTAATAAAATGTTAATAACTTAATCAATATGCCATAAATATAGCCGCTGCAACAAAGGCTTCCAAGGAGCAGGGAAAAAATTATAAAAATAAATTCTCGAAACTCGTTTGCTGCATGCGATTACGTCGACAATCGACCATCGGATCGGCCAGAGATCGCATGAATTTCAAAATCATCGATACACACAGCTGTGACGAATCTCTCTCTCTGTTTTTCTTGGGCCCCGGAAAAGGGGGCGGCATGTGAGAGGGCGGGCCCGATAGCTAAACCCAGAGAGCTGCAATTACCACCGCAGCTCTTGCTGCTCGCTGTTCGCTTTTCACTTTTCAATCGCCTTGCCACTAATTTGACAGCCGGCGAGCAATCGCCATCACTCCTCCAGCTCCAAAGCTCCACATAGACCATGGATCCAGATGCAGAGCCCCTGACAAAGTGTCGTGGATAGCCATATACACATATGTTGATATAGCCCCAGAGATATTGCCAGGCCGCAGAAGGAATGGAACAGTTACAGTGGCACCAAAATAAGGCTTAAGCTAGTAAAATAATTTATAATACAAAATTAATAAAATAAATAACTAAAAGTAGGCCTCATTTACAAAGTCTGTATTTAATTTGGCAACTTTCAACCAAAATACTACGTAAAAAGCATATTTTTTAGATCAAAACAAACACATTTTAACGCTAGAAGATATATAAAAACTCACCATGTTGCGTATACCTGGAATTCCCCTGCTTCCGGGCACACTCTTTCGCGATGTAAGTTCTTAATTATTTTAAATAAAAACAAAATATAATTAAAATCATCTTCAATTAGGTCTCCAAAACCCAATACCCCAAGCCTCAGACCCTGATGAAGTTCCATGGACTCAACATGCTTAGCGATCGCCAACAGCCGGCTCCTGTGGACTCGAGCGGCATGGCGGTGGACATAAGCTGCCCGCCCGTTGGGGCAGCTTCCATCTATCCGCCACGCTCGGGTCCCCGGATGCCGCCTTGGCTGGCCTACGACAAGAAAGTGCTATGCTTCCGGGGTTACTTCAAGCAGACGCTGCAAGAGGTCTATCATGCACCCTATCTGGTGCGAAAGGTCAAGATCTATTACTATCTAGAAGATGGCACCATAGAGATCTTTGAGCCGAGGATTGATAACTCAGGGATTGTGCAGGGCAGCTTGGTCCATAGGCAGCGAGTGCCCAAGGCACCGCCTTGCGACAATGAGTTTATGTCCTTGATTGATCTGAACGTGGATATGACTGTGCAAATATTTGATAGGCAATATCACATCACGGATTGTGATCAGTTTACCAGGAATTTTTTGAATAAGCGGGGAATACCGGTGCCCGATCCTGTTCAGTCGCCATGGTAAGGATTACTTTATATATAATTCTCAGATATTTTGTTAACCTTTTTATTTTTAGTGATCCCACGGAGACCATGCGTAACCGCGATAAAAATCAGACTCACATCTCGCCACCAAAATGTCATGCTTTTGCTCAATTTCTTAAATACGATCGGCAGATCTTAAAGTTTCAAGGTTATTGGGATGATCGAACCGAGTTTGGTGATGTCCGTAAGCTGGAATTGTGTTATTATCTGGCCGATGATACTATAGAGATAAAGGAGGCTCATATTCGAAATTCGGGTAGAGATGGGCCCACGGTATTTTTGAAACGAAACCGATTGGCAAGAGTAAGTAAAATTTACTTTAAAAATTTCAAAATCCTTTTTAAAAAGTGGCTAAAAGTATGCTATGCTCATTAAGAGTTGCAAAATTGTTCTATAATTTATTTTTGAACCTTTTAAAGCCATTTTTTCATATATTTCTCAGTTAAAATATGATAAATTTATAAATTTTAATAAGTTACTTGATTAAAATATGTCAAAAAATAAGCAGTACACTTTATAAGAGTTAAAAAATAATGATATATCATTTTGTAGCATACTTTTGCGCTTTATAATTAAAGGATTTCACATACAGAGAGAGTTTTAAATATCGCTCTCTATAAATATAAATATTTATATTATTTTATAAATATTTCGCAATTATTAATATTTTTTTTAATTTTCCTAGGAATTTGATGGACTACCCCTTCCCGGCCAGACCACCCCACAGACCCTGCTCAACGTTCTGGGCAGCAATATGCGCAACGTACGCTACTGCGTGGATCCCCTGAATACGGGCAATAAGGAGGTTTTGTACTACAGTGATCGTGATCTGCAGATCGGCAGCGTAATAAATGTCTATGGCCGGGCAGTGGTCATCACCGAGCTGGATCCCTTCACGCAGCAATACTACCGCCAACGCTATGGCATCCATGACTTTACGCCACTCCCCATACCCACCAGATCCGACGATTGTGCGGAACACAAGACGGGCGAGCGCCAGTTGCCGCCCTTCAATGGCTGGGGCAGCTACGAGGATTCGGTGGGCAATTGCATATCCGTGGAACCGAAGCCACCCAGGACGGACTTTAAAAAGTTTATCAAATACGATCGCTATGTCCTGCGATTCGGTGCCAAGATGCTCTCGACCATCAAGGCCAACTGTGAAAGGATATTCGTCATCAGTTACTATTTGAGTGATGATACCTTGCAGATTCAGGAGATAGCTGTGCGCAATTCGGGCTTCCTGGGCGGTCAGTTCTTAAGACGCACCAGGCTGGAGTTGCCCGGCCAGGAGAGATTCTCCTGCAAGGAGCCGCAGTATTATATGCCATGGAACTTCTTCATAGGATCCACCATAATGCTGAGCGACTTCATCTTCCATATAGTCTCGGCGGATGAGTACACAATGATGTTTATGGAACACCACCCGGAGCAGTATCCCAAGGCAAATGTACAGATTATCATGGACAAAGTTCGCAGTGCCTTGCAGGATCACATGGTGGAGTTTGTGGGTCAATGTGTGCCTGACTGCACGGATCTGGAAAAGAAGGAGGATGTTTTTATCAGCTATGAGAGCTTCAAGGGAGCATTGATTGCCCAAATGGGCAAAGCGATCAGTGATCATGAGATTGTCACTCTCTGTCGCCACTTTTCAGCGGAGAGGGCGCCGCCTAATGCCTGCAAAAGAGCTGATGTCCAGGCGGCAGCTCATCTGGAGATTAAGAGATCCTTGTGGAATGCTAGAGAGGATTTGATGGAGCACTTCCATCACATTAACCCCATGAATCAACCCTTTATGCCTGAGCACAAGGTGCGATCGGCTCTACGGGGCTGCCGCCTGCCCTTCTCTTTGGAGCTTATAGATAATATTTTATCGATTTTGAATCGCAATGAGTGTGATGATATAGAGGTCTGCGATTTGATGAATTTTATAGATGTTTCCTGTGGCAAGGGCTGCAGCATGGTCCCTGTGAATCATGCCTTTGAGCTGTGCCCGAAGATTCCTTTCCTGTTCTTGGGTCGCGTGGTGAACTTTGCTTGTTTCCTGCGCCACTTGAAGCTACCTTTGAACTTGCCCTCGACAGGTGAGGGTGAAAAAGATGCCATAGGCGATGTGAGGATACTGCCGCCATCGGTGGATGGAGACAATCCGTTGCAAAAGCATGAGTGATTTTTTGGGAGGTTTAGTTATTAGTTAAAACTTAGAAAAATAGCAAAATAACTCATTTTAGTATTTTATTTTGGACTTACAAAATATTAAAAAATAAATTAAAGGATATAATAAAAAATTATGAATATATGTAGACAATTTTAAAGATTTTAACTAAGTAAATTATAGGCTATTTGATTTTTAGCTAATAGAAAAATTAACTTAAATGAGGAAAAGGAAAATTAATTAACTTCAGGCATCAATTTAAGTTTCAAAATTTATGCAGGTATCATTTTACCTTTCAAATTGTTTAATTTAATAGTAAAACATCTAATTTCTCTTCTAAATCTACTCCCAAATCCCTCTGTCTTGTCCCACTGTGCTCATGATGAATTCCCTGGATCGTGTGACAAAAAGACAACCACAACCGCCGCTTCAACTGCGACTCCTGCTCCGAACTCTAGGCTTTTTTTTTTTTTTTTATTTTTGAGTTCCAGATAGACAGCTATCGATCAGCTGCACAGTCTCCGACTGCGACTCAGCGGGCTTAATAATAAAAGCCCGCCACTTAGCCGGCAGTTGGCTTTAATTTATGCAGTGCAGCTTCGGGGGGCTTGCGGCTTAGGCTTTTGGCTTTTGCGTTTTGAGATGCGTGCCAGAGATAAAAGTAATTTGCTTGATTTAATTTTAGTCGGCAGCCACAACAGTCTCCTCCTCCTCCGCTTCTCTTGAGTGGCAGTAGTAGTAGTATTAGTAGCATCCTGTTTTTCTTGGTTCATTTTTTAGTTTTTAATTAGCCGAGTTTAACAAATTTTTGCCAGCAAAGTTTCATGTTGCAAAATGTCTGGCAGCAGCTCATGTAAGTGGCAAATGGTCCACCGCCCCCCAAAAAAAATATAAAAAAGAAAAAATATAAGAAAAAAAGACAGGGACACCATAGAAGAAGGAGGCCAGCTATGTACAGGCCACTTCTAAAGTGGCTAATTGTGTTAGAGCATAATTTACACGTTGTGTTTTCGGTTGCCCCGAACAAGGCGCTGGACATGTGCCTGCCACAAGCAGCAGCAGCAGCTACCACTTGAGATACTTGGCTGCCGTTGCTGCAACAACGCTCTCAGGCTTAAAAACAGCTTTTTTTTGTTAAGCGGGACAGCATTAAGAGCTTCTTACTAAACGAATTTCCAGTTATAGTTACAGAAAAACGATACTTAAAGGAGGGAAAATGTTGATGTTGATCATTTTTTACAAAAAAAAGTACAGTAAAAGTCAAAGAATTACAGGAAGGATAAGAAAGCCAGGTGCTGGGATATGGGAATAGAATAGTAAAATTTTTAAAATAATATTCCGGAATTTACATATTATAAAAGAGCTTCTTGTTAATATAAACTTTGGCTTCCCAAAGCTAGCTTTCTTTCTATATTTAAGTTAAAATATATTCCTCAAAAATTTTAATATTTAAATAACATTACCAACTGTTTGATATACTTTTTAGCAACTAAAATCACTTGAAACTTCTTTGAAAATCACCAAATTATTCCCAAAATCCAATTAAAATCGGGGGAAATACAACAAATGTAAGCCCTTATCCCACGCTGACTCAGATCTATCCGACTTAGCGATATCTTTATTGCCAGCTCCCGTTTTTTAGAGGTCTTCCATACGCACCTCGAAAGTATATAGTATTATTTTATCGGACATCGGAGCGTGGGAATCGAACTGAAGTTGACGCGACACTCGCCGCAGCTGGGGCCATTTGATTAAACGCCTCGTTTTATTCAATATTTAATATGTGAAATTATTGACAGTCGATTGGGCAATGCAAACAGCCAACTGATATTCTCGGGGAGGGAGAGATATCTGCGCGCGGTCCGGTCAATATCAAAATTCAAATATCAATATTTACGCAGCAATTATGCAAATTAAGCTCAGCGGCGGATCGGTTCGGTACTAAAATATCGGTCTGCCATGACGAAACGTCGTTGGCATCTCGAAAACTATATCTCCCAGTTCGGAGTTTCGAGTTTGAAGTCCAAGTTTGGGTCTCAATTTCAGCCAGAGTCTGGGCTTATCTCTTGAAGAGATTGCATTTGCCATGGCATTCGACTTAATTGTTCTAATTACATGCAGTCTTAAGCTCGTGGGAACAACATGAATGCGTATGCAAAACTTGGGTATTTACTTAGTATATTTATTTTTATTTTTATTTTCATTTTCATTTAACTTGGTTTTTTATGGAGGTTTTTTGGTGGCGGCACACGCACAGCTTGACACCTGCAGCCAAAACTGCGGGCTTTAGGCTTTTCCATGGCGCCAACTTGGCCTAAGATGGAGTGTTATGGGTCTTAAGAGAGGTCTCTAAATCTCGATTTTCTACTTCTGGTTTTCTGGCCTTTTGTCAGCGACTTCCCGCTGTTGTCAACTCCTTAAATGTCAACTTCAGTTGGCTTTAGTCTGCGCAGAGTGTCATCATCTTTCCCCTCGAAGGCAGCAATTAAGTTTGAAGACTTCAATTTGTCAGCTAAATGGAACCCCTGGTTAGGTGGATTTGTAAAGAAGAATATGTAGTTTCTTCTAGTTTAAATTATTAAGAGGAAACTCCAGTTGACTAATTTTAAATACCAAAAGATATTAACCTTCTAATGAGCTTGAAAGCCGTAGTTACCTGCTCAACTCAGATCATTATATATGCATTTTTGAACCTCTTAAAGTGTTCCTGATCCGCTTACCTCCCCAAGATCCTCTTCTCATATCTACTTGTTCTTTTTTTTTGTGGCTGCCTGTTTCATAAGTGACAAATTTATGGCGCGTGTGTGTTGCAAACCACATAATTTGTCTGACTTTTGCCAAGGACCCTCCTCTGCGGTCATCGGATACAACCCCAAAATCTCTCTCGAAAAAAAAAAAATCACAAAATTTATGCACAACGCCCTCGCGCCAAATTAATGGATGCTTATTAATTTATAGCTATTTAAATGATCTCGAGGATTGCGGCATTCCAAGGCCCCACGTTCTAATGAAGTCGGATCTGTCGCGTGTGGTGGTGGTGCCTGGCCAAAGGAAGTGTATTTAATTTACACCTGAAACCGAAACCACAAAACTTGGGGACTCTGCCATATAAATTAGCATCATGGGGTGAGGTCGGGGACTCGCAAAAATTAAAACATTTTTCGCTTTTATTTTCGGCGTGTTGTATAGTTTGAAAAATGAAAGTGTTTGCTTTGGTTTCTTTTCGTTTCGGGCCGAGAGAGGCCTGGAGCTTGTGGCATTGACTGGCCATAAATAAAAGTCGAGTCCAGTGCCAGTCCAGCATTCGATATCCAGCTCATCGCTGGAGAGCTGGAGGTTCCGAGTTCGATCTCACTGTGTGGTCAGCCTTTCTATGACTAAGCCCGCACAGCTGGCCAAGCACAAGCTTGGCTTTGGACTGGACTGGAGCTGGGAATAGCGATTGCATCGCTCTTTCTCCGCCGTTTGGAAATTACTATTATAGTTTTATGTGCTATTATTTGGGCATCACCCAGGCCAGAGCACAACAAAAGCAAACGCCAGCCCCCGCAGCGAATAAGGCCGCAGATCCCGAGACACACATGAAGCTGACCGACCGACTGGAGGAGAATCGGAGATCGAAGACTGAATATCGAAGACCAAGAGGGTCGATTGAGCCCCGACTTTTGCATAATCGAAGGGGACACTCTGAAAAATAATATTATTAATTTAGGAAATTAGGAACAAGATATTGTTAAAGCTATCAAAACCCTCTGAAAGTCTTGATTTTACCCGAAAACATTTATTCTAATTTTAATTTATTTATTTCAGACTTTAAATATTTAACTACACTTTTTTCTAATTTTTAAATATTTTTTCGAGTGCCTAAAAACTTTAACCAGTCGACAGAGCGGCATCTTGATTAGCATTCGCAGTCCGAACAGTCCAAAAACGAAGTTGGCATCGATTTGCGTCTTGAAGCCCGTGGGGTGGTGGCAAGATTCTTTGGCGCCAAACGCAGCCAGACAGGCGGATCGATCGATCGCCAAGGCGGCATTTCTCCGAGTGTAACTGTTTCATATCAGCTGCCAAATCGCCTAAAACATTGGCAAATGCAACCATTTTGCAGCTATTTGCTTATGCGGCATGCCATCTCTGCGATTTGGCACAGAGTTCTCACAATTAAAATGCCTTCTTGTCAGCAAAACGAATTCCTCGGGGCGGCGCCTCTTCGGCTCTAAGGAATGTCAATGCCAAATTGTTTCAGTAACCTATAAGTTATGCATGTTTTAGAGACGGGGAGTCATATATATCGAATGTAGAATATATTTTATAAAGAACCCTTAAAAGATATTTCATGAAAAAACTATAAAAGTATTTCACTAGAATATATTTCATTTACTTACATCAGATAAATAGAATATTTTCCATTTTATATCGATATTTTCTCCATATATCGAACACCTTTTTGCCATCTCCCATACACGACTCTCTTGGACTCCCTCGGCGTGGGCGTTGCGTAGCTCAGCAGCTCCAGTGCCCGCGTTTGTCGCCGTCGATTGTCGCCCCGTGTAAATGTCAGATTGGCAAATGCCAAGCGGCAGTTGCTGGCTAAGTTGGCTAAGTGAAAACCAGTAGCCCACAGCGACCAGCCGAGTGGAAGTGTAACGAGCCAAAGCCAAAGGCCAACTCCAGGTGGACGACAAGTCAATGGGATCGAAATCGAAATGCGGGGGAGGAATGGGAACAGAAGCTGGAGGGGAGGAGGAGGTCTACGACACAATCTAAGGACAAGTTCAGAGTGGACAGGCAACATGAACATGTGCAATGAGCCGGGATATGGGTTAAGTGCAATTAAGATCACTCAAATGTTCTTATTTTCACATCTTTCAGTGAACTTTGTAATTTATTTTGACGTTTAAAATGATCTTGAAGCAATTAAATGATCTATATTCTGGGGTTTTATATTTCATGAAGATTATTTAAAATATAAAACATAATTTTTAAGGCTAAATTTTAATAATTTAACTTACAGATGTTTTAAAAATTAAATTCTTTATTCTTGAATTTTAAATATTATATTCTCTAAGCTTTCTTATTGTTGGTCAGCCTCCTATT